TATAGGGAATATATATAGGGCTACCCGTATAGGGAATATATATAGGGCTACCCCGTATAGGGAATATACATAGGGCTACACCGTATAGGGAATATATATAGGGCTACACCGTATAGGGAATATATATAGGGCTACCCCGTATAGGGAATATATATAGGGCTACCCCGTATAGGGAATATATATAGGGCTACACCGTATAGGGAATATATATAGGGCTACACCGTATAGGGAATATATATAGGGCTACACCGTATAGGGAATATATATAGGGCTACACCGTATAGGGAATATATATAGGGCTACACCGTATAGGGAATATATATAGGGCTACCCCGTATAGGGAATATATATAGGGCTACACCGTATAGGGAATATATAGGGATACACCGTATAGGGAATATATATAGGGCTACCCCGTATAGGGAATATATATAGGGCTACACCGTATAGGGAATATATATAGGGCTACACCGTATAGGGAATATATATAGGGCTACACCGTATAGGGAATATATATAGGGCTACCCCGTATAGGGAATATATATAGGGCTACCCCGTATAGGGAATATATATAGGGCTACACCGTATAGGGAATATATATAAGGGCTACACCGTATAGGGAATATATATAGGGCTACCCCGTATAGGGAATATATATAGGGCTACCCCGTATAGGGAATATATATAGGGCTACCCTGTATAGGGAATATATATAGGGCTACACCGTATAGGGAATATATATAGGGCTACCCCGTATAGGGAATATATATAGGGCTACCCCGTATAGGGAATATATATAGGGCTACACCGTATAGAGAATAGGGTGCTGAAGAGCTGAACCTCTTAATATGGAGATTGCTGTGACATTGAACTCCTCAATGATGCTGGCTGGATGCTTGACTGACCATAACTGCTATTTGACCTGAGACCTGACTGACCATAACTGCTATTGGACCTGAGACCTGGCTGACCATAACTGCTATTGGAGCTGAGACCTGGCTGACCATAACTGCTATTGGACCTGAGACCTGGCTGACCATAACTGCTATTGGACCTGAGACCTGGCTGACCATAACTGCTATTGGACCTGAGACCTGGCTGACCATAACTGTTATTGGAGCTGAGACCTGGCTGACCATAACTGCTATTGGACCTGAGCCCTGACTGACCATAACTGCTATTGGACCTGAGCCCTGACTGACCATAACTGCTATTGGACCTGAGCCCTGACTGACCATAACTGCTATTGGACCTGAGACCTGAGAGTTACTGGTAGGTGTGGGTCTACCTTTCACTAATAATAACTCTGATGGCTACAACATAATACAACCAGGAGAGAAACACCCTGCGCATGCACGCACGCACACACACACACATACACACGCACGCACACACACACATATGCACACACACATGCACGCACACACACGCACGCACACACCTACATTAACAGTATCAGCTGTTTGTTTGTTACTATAGGTGATTAGAGAACCAGAACATCTAAATACCCTGTAATCACTGTTATTGTGTTTCCATTTGATTCACATGTATTATAAATTGATGATTAATTTGCGTAGATTATTATTGCTGGACTGGATTGTTTTCATTACTGGCATCTTCTGAGAGAACAACAGCAGGAAAAATAGAATGAAACAATGGTTCCAAATAGCACCCTAACAATAGAATGGTTCCAAATAGCACCCTAACAATAGAATGGTTCCAAATAGCACCCTACAATAATAAACATGTCAAATGATAACAATAGAAAATGGTATACAACTAAATGAGACAAGCAAGACAACAATGAACAATGGTCCAAATGAAACTAACAATAGAATGAAACAATGGTTCCAAATAGCACCCTAACAATAGAATGAAACAATGGTTCCAAATAGCACCCTAACAATAGAATGAAACAATGGTTCCAAATAGCACCCTAACAATAGAATGAAACAATGGTTCCAAATAGCAACCAAACTAAGAAAATGGTTCAAACAACCTAACAATAGAAACAACCAAATAGCACCCAACAATGGAAACAA